GGAAAAAGAAATCCAGCACAAGGGGCGAAGGGGGTTCTTCACAGTAAGATCAGTTAGGGTCTGGAACTCGCTGCCACAGGCGGTGATCTCAGCAAATAATGTGGAATTGTTCAAGAAACTTTTGGACGATTTCTTAAGGGACCGTAATATACAGGGGTACAGGTAATATACAGGGGTACGGGTAATATACAGGGGTACAGGTACTCCTAGAATGAGATCCTAATAGGTTGGACTTGATGGACTAATGTCTTTATTCAACCTCAAATACTATGTAACTATGTAATTCTGCCTCCTGCAGATATCCAAAAGCCCCGAGACTGCTGCTGGGTGCCGCCATCTTGGATGAGATGTCAGAGCCCTCAGTAGACCCGTGATCCTCTATAGCAGTGATTCTCAACCAGTGTGCCGCCCGAGTTTATCAGGGGTGCCGCGGGGCAAAAATAGAACCAAAATTTCACCAAAAAGAGGCACCCGCAAGTGGCATAAGTCTCAGCAACCAATTACGGCATCTGTTGCTCCAGACACTGTCCAGTCGCAGTTTAAAGGCTGTGACACACTGCACGCGAAGCAAGGCGGAGCAGTGGCGCGCTGCCTTCACGGGCGGGGAGTGTGTCATGTCATTTTCTTTCCGGCACATCTAGCTTGCGAGAGTTCGCATAGCTGAGCGTGCCCAGATGAAAAATGTCATCTTCAGCCAATGGGCTCGCGTGTCACGTGCATTCCGGTTGTTACGCGTGAGCCGATTGGCTGAAGATCCTCTCATTAATCTGACTGCACTCAGCTCACACACTGCGTGCGAAGCTCCGTGCCTGACAGCTTTGCACGGCTTCAAACTATGGCCGCTGACAGTCTATAGCGACGCATGATGTTAGCGGTTGCCGAGATTAGTGCAGGTAGGACCAGGGACCTCAGAATGTGCAGGCAAGGTGCACCGCCAGGGCACGTGGAAGCAGTACCAGAAGTCCTACAGCCACCTTGCCTTCTGGGACTGAGGAAGCAGGTAGGGCAGGGGTGGGAGAGGCCTGCGGATGTTTGTCAGTGAGGAGCGGGATAAGCAAAGAGGCGTCACCCCTCTTACCACTTGTCCACACCAATGCCATGCTTTAATCACGCAGTTCCATTCAATTGTCGCACTCTACCATGGATTGCAGTGCAGCAGGTACGTTGCGTTTCTGCAAACGCACAACTCCCGTCCGCAATGTGCTCGACTGTGCTGCAATGGGGGAAGAATGATGTCTGGATGGATGTTTCCATTATATTCAGACCTCAGCCACTGGTGCATGCAGCTGCGTTCAGCTGGTGATTTTTTTCACCCGGCTCTGTTGATCTTCTGATCGAGGGATGTATGGCCACCTTCAGGGTTGCAAAAAAGAGGAATCGTCTTCTGCAAGGCCCGCTTCTAGCAGACAGGGGAGATTTTTATTTTCTTATTTTAAAAAGGAGAACTATGGGGTCAGTGTTTTTCCCCATAGTTCTCCTTAGGGTAACGGGAGGACACAAACTAGCGTCCTCCCGTCACCCTAAGCTCAGTATACCGCGAGCTACGGCTCCCTATATACTGAGACGCCGCAGCCAGAGCGGATCCCGATATCGATGTCGAGATCCGCCCAGCTGCGTGAGTGACAGCTGGCTCTGCCTATCTACAGGCAGAGCCAGCTGTACCCGCCCCCTCCCCCGTCCGATCCGCCAGTCAGCGCTGGAGGATCGGAGCGGGGAGAGGGGAATCCAGCCCCTCCCCTGTCATGGCAGAGAGCCGTGACAGGATCGCGGGGTGAGCGAGCGCCGGTATGTATTCGCTCACCTCCCGATCTACTGAGCCGACCTGTGACAGTCTCATTGCCACAGGTCGGCTAGAACCATGAGGGGAGTGAAAAGCATCCCCCCTCATAGTTCTCCTTTAACAAAAGGAAGAAGAAAAAGGAGGGGGCGTCTTTTCCCCCTTGGAACGTGCACTGAAACATCTTCAACGTTGCAGAACAAGTCCGGCTGAGTGAGACTATGGACTATCTGTGACCTGGATAAGCAAGATCCATCACAGACAGACATACTGGATTCATTGAGGGGAATTTGCTAAGACTGGAGCAACCAATCAGCTTCTCTCTTTACTTTTCAAAACCTAGCTGAACAAGCTACTAAGAAAAGATGTCCTTGAGTTGGAAAAAGTCCAGCGAAGGGCAACCAAACTAATTAGGGGTATGGAGGACCAGAGCTACGAGACGAGGCTACTAAATTTAAACATGTTCACATTGGAGGTGAGGAGATTAAGGGGGGATATGATTTCCATGTACAAAATGTTTAATGGTGGCAGCAAAAGACAGAAGCTGATTGGTTACCCTTCACACCTGCTCTGGATTCTGCCTGCTCCAGTCTTAAGGTGCCCATACACCTTACGACCATCGCAAGACTTTTGTCTTGCGATGGTCGTATGCTCATTAAAAGCCCGTACGATCTGCCCACCTTGGACGGGCAGATCGTACTTGCGATCATCGGAAGAAGAAGTTTAAAGTCGTGCGAGCTTACAGTAGTAGAAGTCGCACGGCTTCCACACACCTTGCGATCATCGTACGATTGCGGGATTTCCCGCGATTATCGTAAGGTGTGTGGGGACCTTTAGTAAATTCCCTCTAATGCATTGTAAAGATGTAGGGGCGAAACCGATGGAGGAATTCCTGTTCTCAGCTCTCTATGTGGAATGATGCGGCTGGCACAGATGCGGAACCCAGAGTTTACCCTCGGCAGCCCATACAACATATTACCTGTTCCCGGTGGCAGCAAGGGCCAGTACGATGGGGTCGGCGATCTCGATCATGGACTGCAGGGTGGAGGTGACCACGATGAAGAAGATGATGCTGAGCAGGAAGGTTCTCTGCAGGACCTGCAGATCCAGGAGACCCGTCTGCAGAGAGAGGAGCATCAGTGTCACCCCTTCCGTCACCCCCCTGAAATGAGACAAAAGCTCCGTTACCGTCCAATCCGGACTAAACAAAATCAGAATGAACCTGTTATGTGTCATTGAATTTCTTTTCACGAACAGCAGTGCTCAACCCGCTCTGGACACAGGGCCCAAAGACTTCACCTAAATGGGCATGTGTAGTACACGCAGGTCATCCCCCTCTCCCTGCAGCCCTCTGGCCACCAGCAAGTCCTGGCTGTCATTTTAACAGCCGGGACTTGTTTTAAGGTGGTCATACCCTGCTCAACTTGGGTACCCTATTGGCACCAACCCAAAATAAAAAGCACACTTACCAGCTAGTCTGCAATAAAAACAAGTTATCCCATCTAACAATTTACATTAAAGTTTAGGTTTTAGTTGCACAACATTTGCAAGTCACATGGTCTCACTAAGGCTCCTCCGTGTAGAGTCTAATCTATGAGAGCCGCCATCTTGGAGCATATAAGGCAATGGGTACACTAGGGGCGGGTATGCCTGGAGGTAGGTCCATTCCATCTAAAGGCACAGGGACACTCCAGAATCCCAGCACAGCCCAATGGCAGCTGAAGACTCCCAGTGTGTCCCAGCACCAAATCCAGCCAAACAAAAATGGCAACCGCACCAATAAGTTTATAACTAGCTTGTGCACATGGAAGGGCTCTGCAGAGAACAAAACACAAACATTTCCCGCCACACTATCCAAGCAGACACCCGGCATTGATTTTTTAAATGACTTATCGAAAGACCAGGTGCAAAATTGTTGGTCAAACAGCGACTGCAGCCAATTGGCATCAGTGTCTGCTCAGGTATTCTGACAACTGCAGGTCCTGAATACAACAGCCGGCAAGGGAGGTTCCTCCATCCATGCAGAGGGATGGGGAAGTCTAAAGATATAGGGCTATCTTTACTTTCATGGGGCAGAGCTTTCTTCCCCAGCGTACACTGACACTCTCAGTATAGTGACTGCAATGTCAATAAGGGTTATAATGTAGCAATATTATTATTATTATTGTTTCATTGCAACGACTATAGGTCACTCACAGCAAATCATAAGGGTGACTGCTGGTCTGCATTGCACGTCAGTTATAGCACATATGCTCCAAGCTCACTCCCGGGATGGACTACAATCTCACGTTTAGTTTACTCATTTGTATTGAGATTGTAGTCCATCCCGGGAGTGAGGAAAGAAAGGAAAGGAGGAGAGGAAAGGAAAAAGGGAGGAAAGGAAAAGGAAAAGGAAAGAAAGAAAGAAAGAAAGAAAGAAAGAAAGAAAGAAAGAAAGAAAGAAAGAAAGAAAGAAAGAAAGAAAGAAAGAAAGAAAGAAAGAAAGAAAGAAAGAAAGAAAGAAAGAAAGAAAGAAAGAAAGAAAGAAAGAAAGAAAGAAAGAAAGAAAGAAAGAAAGAAAGAAAGAAAGAAAGAAAGAAAGAAAGAAAGAAAAGGAAGGAAAAAAAGGATAGGAAAGAAAAGGAAAAAAGGATAGGAAAGAAAAGGAAAGAAAGGAAAGGAAAGAAGGATAGGAAAGAAAGGAAAGAAGGAAAGGAAAGAAGGAAAGGAAAGAAGGATAGGAAAGAAGGATAGGAAAGAAGGAAAGGAAAGAAGGATAGGAAAGAAAAAGAAAAGAAGGATAGGAAAGAAAGGAAAGAAGGAAAGGAAAGAAGGAAAGGAAAGAAGAAAGGAAAGGAAAAGAAGAAAAGAAAGGAAAGGAAAAGTAAAGGAAAAGGAAAGAAAAGAAAAGAAGAAAAGAAAGGAAAGAAAGGAGGAAATGAAAGAAGGAAAGGATGAAAGGAAAGAAAGGAAAGGAGGAAAGGAAAGAAAGGAAAGGAAAGAAGGAAAGGAAAGAAAGGAAAGAAGGAAAGGAAAGAAGGAAAGGAAGGAAAGGAGGAAAGGAAAGAAGGATAGGAAAGGAAAGAAAAGAAGGAAAGGAAAGAAAAAAAGGAAAGGAAAGAAGGAAAGGAAAGGAGGAAAGGAAAGAAGGAAAGAAAGGGAAGAAGGATAGGAAAGAAAAGGAAAGAAGGAAAGAAAGGAAAGGAAAGAAAGGAAAGAAAAGAAAGGAAAGAAGGAAAGGAAAGAAAGATAGGAAAGAAAGGAAAGAAGGATAGGAAAGAAAGGAAAGAAGGAAAGAAAAGAAGGAAAGGAAAGGAAAGAAGGAAAGGAAAGAAGGAAAGGAAAGGAAAGAAGGAAAGGAAAGAAGGAAAGGAAAGGAAAGAAGGAAAGGAAAGGAAAGGAAAGAAGGAAAGGAAAGGAAAGAAGGAAAGGAAAGGAGGAAAGAAAGGAAGTCACGCAGCATGCACTCTCACCTATGCATGGCATTCCCGTTCTGGACGGCTGCGTATCCCATCAGATAGAACTTGCAGAGGTTCAGCATCCCCAGAGCCAGGTAGGACACAGTGGAGGTGAGTCCCAAGAGACAATATGGAGTCCCGCAGCACTCCGACACGCTGCGGAGATACAATTCATAACTCCTGTAACATGTGCACATTAACAGAATCAGTCTGTATCATGATCTAGAACAGGGGGAGGCAATGTGGACCCTGCAGCTTTTGTGGAACTACAAGTCCAACAGGGCATTGCAATACGCCATACAGCCACATACATCAAAGCCGGAGGCAGAGGCATTATTGGAATCTGTAGTTTCACAGTGCCTACCCCTGATGTAGAACATATGCAATTCCAAGTAACAAAAAAAAGCAATGAGCTACAAATGCTACCCAGTAAATACAGCAAACGTGCTAGACAAAGTCAAATACCTAAAAACTTCTGGAGCACAAAAGGCAGGGGGAGTAATGGATGACGGTGGTCCTGGAGCGCACAGGCAGGGGGAGTAATGGATCACAGTGGTCGTGGAGCACACAGACAGTGGGAGTAATGGACAGCAGTGGGAGTAATGGACAACAGTGGTCGTGGAGCACACAGGCAGGGGGACTAATGGATGACAGTGGTCGTGGAGCACACAGGCAGGGGGACTAATGGATGACAGTAATCATGGAGCACACAGGCAGGGGGAGTAATGGATTACAGTGGTCGTGGAGCGCACAGGCAAGGGGAGTAATGGATGACCGTGGTTGTGGAGTGCACAGGCAGTGGGAGTAATGGACGACAGTGGTTGTGGAGGGCACAGGCAGGGGGAGTAATGGATCACAGTGGTTGTGGGGCACACAGCCAAGGGAGGTCAGTGGGCGGGTGGCAACAGGTAGGAGAGTCTCACCTGTTGAGGAGGATGAAGATCGGCCCCTGCTGCTCTAGGATGCCCGGCTTGGAGGACAAGGCACTGTACACTTGGAGGAGGTAAAGAACCACCCAGAAGACCAGGAAGATGGCAGGGACAGCTAGCTGTGTCCAGAGTGCCATACCGAGGGCCACCAACCTGTAGAGTTCCATTTCCTGCCGAGGACGATATTAAAGACACAATAAAACACTTCCAATAATCATCTACAGATAACATATTGCTGAGACGTCATCAGGTTTGGGAACTTCCCTTGAGATAAAAGGACCAGGCCACCAAAAAGTGAGTTATAGGCCGAGTCTGGGTCACCGAGTCACCCGCTGCACCTGTATATCTCCTAGGAACTCCAGAGAGCAGACACCCGCTTCTTGTCCCCTAGAAAGCCAATCCTTCACCAAATGGCACAATGGCCGATGGACAGCTGCCATTAGTTCTTTTCAGGGCCACCCTTCTGTCACATGGTTGCCGTGTGTCCTGGGATCACACCATCAACCATATTATCAGTTATTGCACATGTGCAGTAACACAATCAGGCATTAACTGCAGGGACTGGGGCTGCTAGCTGGTGGTCCCAGCATATTTAGAGGTGGGTTCTAGGCAGGGCCAACCCACAAACTGGGAGGGATGGGTGGTCCCAGCATATTTAGAGGCAGGATCTATGCAGGACCAACCCACAAACTGGGAGTGATGGGTGGTCCAAGCATATTTAGAGGTGGGGTCTAGGCAGGGCCAACCCACAAACTGGGAGTGATGGGTGGTCCCAGCATATTTAGAGATGGGGTCTAGGCAGGACAGACCCACAAACTGGGAGTGATGGGTGGTCCTGGCATATTTAGAGGTGGGGTCTAGGCAGGGCCAACCCACAAACTGGGAGTGATGGGTGGTCCCAGCATACCGGTGGGATCTAGGTGGTCCCAGCATATTTACAGGTAGGATCTGGGAGGGACCAATCCATAAAGTGGGTGTGATTTGAGCATCCCCACCCAGGAAGTAGGCAGATGAAATGTTGACTGTGTCCTGGGATCCATAATGTTATACGAGATATCATGTTGGGTCCTAACAGCAGTAATTGGTCTTTACGTGTGCTCACAACGAACAGCCCTCAGTGTCCTACCTGAATCAGTTCCTCGTAGGCCTTGGTGAAGAGGCGGCACAGAGGACGGAACCCAGATGCCGCCACGTAACACATGACCAGCAGTGTTGCGCCAGTGGAGACAACGTTGAGAAGTGGCAGAGAGTGCAGAGGAAGTCTGGTTAGGCGGGCCAAGAGCGGCAGGACGGGGGCGCTGAAGAGCCAGGCCTGACGAGTCCTCATGAGCAGGGAACAAAGCGTGCACACCATCACCAGGCCTGAGGGAAGACATGACAGATTTTTAGTTTTCAAGGAACTTCTGCCCGATTTTTTCTTCTTCGTATTGAATAGATTGGGGAGAGGGTGGAGCCTCTGTCAGGATTATATCACCATATGTTTATGTCACCTTTAGCTGTGAGATTACAAATGAATGTGATGTCTCACCTGTTAGAGTGCTGACACTGCGAGTCAATGACGTGTGGTCCTCGTACACCGTCCCCGAATAACCGGCATCCATCTCCTGGCGGATGTAATCCCTGAAATCCGAGAGAGAAGATGGGCTGTACTGAGCAAGAGGGAGAGCGAAGGAGGGAGAGAGAGCGGGAGAGAGGGAAAGAGAGAGGAGGGAGAGAGAGAGAGAGAGAGAGAGGGGGAGGGGGAAAGAGAGAGAGAGAGAGAGAGAGAGAGAGGGAGGGAGAGAAAGAGAGGGGGAGGGAGAGAGAGAGAGGGAGGAGCGAGAGAGGGGGAGGGGGAAAGAGAGAGAGGGAGGAGCGAGAGAGGGAGGAGCGAGAGAGAGGGAAAGGGAGTGAGAGGAGAAAGGGCGGGAGACAGGCGAGGGAGGTGGAGTAATATGGGAGATGGGGAGGGCAGGGGGGACAATATAACTGACCTGACCGTCTGGTGGGCCACATACAGCAGCAATGAGGTGAGGAGATAGAGGTAAATATTGACCAGATGGCGCAGAGGAAGGATCACCAGCACCGCACACACCACATGGGCTGGAGATGGAGAGAGGAGATCAGTCACATGTAATATACAACACATTCTGTACACGGCTATATGATTTTTATCTATCTCATCATGCACACTATGTGACAGGTTCCCTTTCTCCTTCTCCTCACCCAGGTAGTAGACATTCCACAGGAGAGGCGAGTAGATGAAGGACGTATTGTAGGCGGGGCGACTGAACTCTCCTCTGAACTCCTCCACATCCCAGCGGTAGAGCAGATCCAGCAGGACGATTGCCGGGACTCGGAGGGCCACGTTGGCCACGCCCTCCAGACTAGGCATGGCGGGGGATCTATACTTGATGTCAAACCTCACAGGCTACAGACAGTCACATGACACGCGCCGGAACAGACAGCGCCGGGGAGGGAGGCGGAAGACCCGGATGAGACGCGGTCCAGGCCTCTCGGAGAACAGCCGGCACACCTGTAGAACGACATGGACTTTTATATCATCATTTATAACACAATACCAATCGGGTGCCTGAAAATGTCCGCAGGTCACAGAAGAGTAGACGTGGGGTGCAGCAAGGTCACATGTCATTCGCCTTCGCTGGGTGTGATGTCATTGTCCTTCCGGGAAGACTCCCGGGGAACACAGAGCAGGCCAAATCTGGTGAGAAGATCTTCCATGGCAGGAGTGTCTTCCCCCGGGATTTCCGCTGCTCTGTGTACTCCATGGAAGGAGTGTAACGTCATCCTCACCTAGGCGCCGCGGGTGGAAGACGGGGGTGAGGTCGGTATAAATCTAACATTTTCTTTACCAGTACATTGTGCCCCCCATTCACATTTGGTGATTTGTAAAGGGGAAAGGGGAGGGGCCTGGGCGCAGACCTCTCCATTTTATGGCAAAGTCCACCTTGATTTGATTGACCAACTCCGAGGATCAAGTGAGTAACCCCAGTGTCTTCAGCAACCTCGGTATATACAATGACCCCAGCGACCCATGCACTCCTATCTCTTCATACTCCTATGTCTCCAGTGACCCCGGCCAATGGGTAGAAACATTGTATATCAAAATTGAATCCTGTCATAGAGTTTGCTGCGTGCAGTAAGGTGAATGAAGACTGAGGTGTGTAGGGCCTCAATGACTGTTCACTGCCCTTGTTTACTCCGGGGGAGGGGAGACCAAACTGACCCCTGGAAGTGAGCGTCCACGCACACCGAGCGTTTCCCATCCTCCACCCACCGATGGCCTATCCCGTCCTATAACCTTTATCCATGGCAGGGGGACGGACCACCTGAGGAGACCTATATTAATATATACACCTCCATATTTATTTACACCCTCCTATATCCAACTCATATCCATATATACACCCCTATATTACCCCTTAGTATTATATACACACACTTCTATTACTATATACACCCCTATATTATCCCATAGTACTATACACCCCCCTATATTACTATATACACCCTTCTATTACTATATACACCCCTATATTACCCCATAGTACTATATACACCCCTATATTACTATATACACCCCCCTATGTTACTATATACACCCTTCTATTACTATATACACCCCTCTATTACTATATACACCCCCCTATGTTACTATATACACCCCCCTATGTTACTATATACACCCCCCTATTACCCCATAGTACTATATACACCCCTATATTACTATATACACCCTTCTATTGCCATATACACCCTTCTATTACTATATACACCCCTAGATCGCTATATAACCCTCTATATACTCCCCTATATTGCTATATACACCCTGCTATTACTATATACACCCCTGGATCACTATATGAACCCCTATAGTACCATATACACCCCTTTAGTACTATATACACCCCTATAGTACTATGCTCACCCCTCCCCCCCATATTATTATATACACCACAATAGCCATACTTACACCCCATAGTCATATCATTGAATTGTACCATGTGTATATAAGTGCTGTGACATGTATACCATTATGTACATTATTCTTTATCTATAGCCCCAGGAACAGGCCGGAAGGGAAGTTGCAGGATAAGCATTTCTAGTCCTGGGACACTTCCAGGGACAAACCTCCCAGCACAGGCCTCAGTCTGTCCCCGGAAACTCCCTGCTGTCCTGCGGGACCTCAGGACCCGGCCCTCAGGAGGACATTCTCCCAGTCCCCCTTCCTTCCCAGCAGCTAGGCCCCAGACCCCTCAGAGTTTCCTGATTACCAGGAGAGACAGACTGACCGCCTTCATGACGCCGGATCCGCCATATTGTGTGAGGGCAGAGTCCCGTCCTCAGACGGTCACTGCGCAGGCGCAGAAATACGTGTCAGGTGACACACAGCGGCGGGGGTGGTGACGGAGACCCCTGGCGGCGGGACCATGTCAGTGTTCAGTGAAATGGTTACATTGTAGGGAGGCCTGGTCACGTGAGGGCAGGTCAGCTGGAGTCCATCGGTTTGATATCAGCGATCGCAAAGATGTGATCGATCATCGATTAAAACATGGAACGAGGTTCCCATCAGTTATAAATGTTAGCAATCTATGAAAACGATCCGAATCATACAGAATTACAATCATTTCCACCGAAATGGGCAGATATTTGGTGGATTAGAAGCGGAATGTAGAATTCTGCCGCAGCCGATCGTCTATTGAAAGCTCCCTAAATTGATGGAATGGAGGATCTCTGGTTTGCAATTTTTATTTATTTTAGTCATATCGAATGATCGAGCGTACGGTCATATCGGTAGGTGTATTGCTTTCCATCAGATCCGCGTCCTCTTCTGGTTACTGTCCACAAACCCAATCAGTCATCACTGGTGGTCACTTCGGGTGCGCCTTGCATTGCTATTCATCAAATATACATCTATAGCAAAGTATACGATGGGGGCGGTCAGGCTAGGCTGCACAGCGCAATTGGTTGTTAGGTCACAGTAGGGTTGCCACCTTTTCTGCAAGTGAAACCCGAACACTCTGGAGCTACGCGTGGCAATTATTTTTTTTTGGGGGGGAGAGAATTTAGAGGAGAGATCGAGGAGAGGCAGCCAGAAGAAAGAGCAAGAAGAGGCAGCCAGGAGAGGGAGTGAGGAGACCATCTATAGAGGACTACAAATCCCAGCAATACATTATACAGCAATACAAAATAAATATCAAGCGACATGTGTGTTGTTCCGGGGTGGCACCCTGATGTCTCCAGGGTCTCAGGTGGCCTGTGCGGGCTCTCACCAGGCCTGTGCTGGCTCTCAGGTGGACTCCGCGGGCTCTCAGGTGAACTCTGAGGGCTCTCAGGTGGGCTGTGCAGGCTCCCAGATGCGCTATGTGAGCTTTCAAGCAGCTGTGTGGGGTCTCAGTTGGCTGTGTGTGGTCTCATGTGGGCTATATGGGCTCTCAGTTGGCTGTGTGGGGTCTCAGGTGAACTATGCAGGCTTTCAGGAGTGCTGTGCGGTGTCTCACCAGGGGTCTGAAGGTGGGCAGTGTGGTGTCAGGAAGACGGAGGAGGAGATGTGCGGGCCGGCGCCTGTTTACATGCACCTGCGGCTCACAGGAAGGCTGCCGAGGTCCCGCGCTTGCTTGGGCCCTCGGCAGCCTTCCTGTGGGCAGCGGGCCCGTACATCTCCTCCTCCATCTTGCTGACACCTGTCAAAAAATGTAAAGTGTTCGTGTGTGTGTGTGTGGCCTGAAACCGGGACACAGGGCTCCAAAACCGAACTGTCTGGGTGAATCCCGGACAGGTGGCAACCCTAGTGACGCATGGGGGGTCTCAGCTGCCGTTGTGATGTGCGGGGTCCCTTGTGCGTTCCTGTGCCTTTAAGGGGGGTTGGGCTTCCTCCTGACAGACCTGCACCCAATTCTATCTTCTGCCCCCATGTGCTCCAAGATGGAGACTTATAGTTTAGAGTTAGGACCGCACTATATAGAGGTGCCTTGGCGCGGCTGTGCGGCTTTCACATTTTCAGCAGAAGACGTGTATCTAAACCTCTGTTTTTAACCTTAGAGGTGAGACAAGTTTTTTTGCATGCTGGCTGGTGAGTGTGCTGGGAAACTTTTTGCTGATGTACTGTATAAAGCCCTTCCATGTGCACCGCGCTGTAAAGCTGGTAACAAATTGATGAGTGCGTTGCCATTTGTTTTCCATATTTATAAATGACGCTGTGGGGATGTTAACGTCTTAGCAACCAATGGGGTTGCACAGCCTCATCGGTTGCTATGGTGTGCTCACATGCATCCTAGACACCAATGATGTCATAGGGCCACCAGCATCTAAGCAGGCAATGACCCTGTCGGACCACCAGAATCTAATCATCCAATGACACGGTGGGACCACCAACATCTTAGCAGCCAAAGACCCTGTGGGCAGTGGTGTATTTTGGTTTGGGGCTGCCCTAGGCAAGAGTAAAACCCCCCGAGACCCTGCGGAGCCCACTATAGACCCCACAGAACATCATTGCGCATGCGCGGTCACCTCGGTGCGGGCGGCACCCCCCTTGTGACGCCACTGGGCGCACCCAACGCATGTTTTTGTTTTTATGTTGGGGCAGGGGACTGTAAAAAAAATTTTGTGGTTTTTCTTTTTCATTTTTTTTATGTGTGACTTAATTTTTTTTTTCTCACACACAACTTTATTGCTATCACATAGGGGATAAGACGGCCCCAGAGGCGGCTCTTTAATTAGGCAAATTAGGCGGTCGCCTTAGGTCTCGTGCTCCCGAGGGCCTCGCGACCGCCTAGTTTGCCCTGTCAGAACGGCAGCCAGGTAGCGTTGTGAGCTCTCATCCCCGTAGCTGTCAAACTGAGACACACAGTGTGACAGTGACAGGGCTGAGAGCTCATCCATTACCTCGATCATTGGTGCGGACCATCGGCTCGGTCTTCTGCATGGAGCTCCACCCACCAGCCAATGAGAAGAGACCTCACCCCACACGAGGATCTCTGGCTGGGAGGGCGGAGTTTAACTGCAGAAGCTGATGGAGACGTCGTCCTGCACGCTCCTGCCAGCTCCCGCCCGCAAGACACAGACGGCGCAGCACAGTACTGGAGTGGCAGCCTGGAGAGCCCTGTGGAAAGCAGGTGAGAGCCCTGTGGATAGCCCTGGTGTAACCAGAATTCTGTGGGGGTCTCACAAGGGCTTAGTTTGGTCTATCAAGGCTGGTTCAACCCCCCCACAGAGCCCTGGGGAGACACCACAGAGGCCTGCTACCCTAGGGAGACCCCCCGAGAGCCCTGGTGAAACTCTTCAGAGCTCTGGTTTAACCAGGGCTCTGTGGGGTCTCATCAGTGCATTAAAGGGGTCTCACCAGGGCTCTGTGGGACTAACAAGGTTGGTTAGACCCCACAGTGCCCTGATGAGATCCCACAGAACCCTGCTACCCTGGTGAGGCCCCCTCAGAGCCCTGGTGAGACCCCACAGAGCACTGGTCTGTGGGGTCTCACCAGGGCCCTGAAGGGGTCTAACCAGGCTGGTGAGACCCCACAGAGCACCGGTGAGACCCTATGGAGCCATGGTGCTGGTGAGACCCCATCTCGCTCTGGTGAGATCCCACAGAGCCCTGGTTTAACCAGGGCTCTGTGGGGTCTAATTAGCGCACTGATGGGGTCTCATTAGCGCACTAAAAGGGTCTCATTAGCGCACTAAAGGGGTCTCATCAGGGCTCTGAGGAGTCTCACCAGGGCTCTGTGGGACTAACAAGGCTGGTTAGACCCCACAGTGCCCTGATGAGACCCCACAGAACCCTGCTACCCTGGTGAGGCCCCCTCAGGGCCCTGGTTTAACCAGGGATCTGTGGGGTCTCACCAGGGCCCTGAAGGGGTCTAACCAGGCTGGTGAGACCCCACAGAGCACCGGTGAGACCCTATAGAGCACTGGTGCTCGTGAGACCCCATCTCGCCCTGGTGAGACCCCACAGAGCTCTGGTAAGACTCTACGGAGTCGTGGTGCTGGTGAGACCCCATCTCACCCTGGTGAGACCAGACAGAGCACTAGTTTAACCAGGGCTCTGTGGGGTCTCACCAGGGTCCTGAAGGGGTCTAACCAGGCTGGTGAGACCCCACATAGGCATGGTGAGACCCCACAGAGCCCTGGTGAGACCCTACGGAGCCCTGGTGCTGATGAGACCCCATCTCGCCCTGGTGAGACCCCACAAAGCCAAGGATGAGACCCCACAGAGCCCTGGTGAGACCCTACGGAGCCCTGGTGCTGGTGAGACCAGACAGAGCCCTTGTGAGACCCCACAGAGCCCTGGTTAAACCGGGCGGCTCCGTAGCCACCTGAACACTTGTATGAAGACAAACTGTTTAAAATACAGGCAGTTTCCTGCTTGTGCGCGCCGCCAGGTGCTGCACATGAGCGGGTTCGGGCACAAGGACGTTCAAGAACACCCACCCTCATCCAGGGCGTCAGGTGGTTAAAGTAGAACTGAATCTAAAACTTTTTTATTTAGTTTTGGATAGAGTAAGGGAGGGTTATAAAATCCTGTCATCTTTTCTTTTGCCACCTGTGTCCTATTGGGGAGATTTCTCTTCACTTCCTGTCTGATAGCCACAACAGGAAGTGAGAGGAAATCCCTCCAAAGAGAGGGAAATCCCTAGTGGTCAGCAGAACTAGTGTCCCCATTGGAGGATTTCCCATCTACTCCTGTCCTGGTGGGATTTTATTTCCCTTTTAGTGATAACAGTCACCAGGACACATAGAGAGGGTGAATCTTCCTACCGGGGACACGAAAGAAAGCGATAAAAACCTGACAGGGAGTCTAATCCTATACAAAACACAAAAATTCCCCAGCCTCAACCTGCCAGCCAGCCTGCAACTAAACAAGTAGCCCTGTCAACAGTATGCATTAAAATCAGAGGTTTTAGTTGCACAAACTTTTGGCCAAAAATATGTAGAAGCCGCACTGCCGCGCCACCATTTTTTCTAGTTTAGCTATGTTTGGTTTGGGGGACGCACTGGAGTCCTGGCGGGCATTTTTGGTTGCTGGGCCTCCAGTGCGTCCCTGCACCTTATAAGGAGGAGTAGGCTACCTCCAGGTACACCTGCATGTAATTTATCAACTGCATTAATATGCTCACACTTGGAGACTCGGATACATAGAGTTAGGATCACACTTTGCAGAGGTGCCTTGGCGTGGCGGTGCGGCTTCTACATATTTTTGGCCAAAAGTTTGTGCAGCTAAAACCTCTGATTTTAACGCATACTGTTGACAGGGCTACTTGTTTGGTTGCAGGCTGGCTGGCAGGCTGAGGCTGGGGAATTTTTGTGTTTTGTATTGTTGTAAGCCTTCCCAATGTGCGCCCTGCTATAAAGGCTGGTTATGGATTCATGCATGTACCATTTTTTCTAGGGAGTCTAATCCCTCTCCACTCCATCCAAAACAAACAAAAATCTGGTTTTACATTCATTGCAGTGCCGTTCTTCCACCACTAGATGGCGCCCTTTACCACTATAGAAAGCTAAGGGGTGACTTGTCGGCTGATCAGACAATAGACAATCTATAGAGGTGTATAGAAGGGTCAGCCATGATGTATTATCATAGTCCATTGGGGCTCTGTGCCCGGCTGTATATTCCATTCATACAGTGTCACATATGGAGTGCGATCCAAAAGTAAACGCACTCAGTAAACGCACTCTTGCTCCTCAGTATCGGGGGTGGTCCTGTGTTCAGTTCAAATAGAGAAAATGGGAAGCAGCCGTGCCCGGACCGGGACAAAACATATGCCTTGGCATTTTGGAGTGAGCAGCCCAGTGATGTGACCCCTGGCAGGCCAAACGGAAGTGCAATCGAGTGGTGGGGCCAGCAGACTATTACCCCAACAGTACCCAGCAGATTATTACTACTACAACTGCGCCCAGCAAATGATTACTGTACAAGTGTCCTGCAGATTGCCACTAGAACAGTATCTAAAGGATTATAGCAGTAGCATGTCCCATGAAAAACTCCCAGAACCAATCAGATGACAGCGAACGCCTTCAACCACCATCTGTCCAGTCCACCTGAGTACAAATCTCAGCAATACATTATACAGCAATGCAGAATACCACCAGCTATAGAGAACTACAAATCCCAGCAATACATTATACAGCAATGCAGATTAATACCATCAGCTATAGAGGACTACAAATCCCAGCAGTACATTATACATGAAAGCAGAATACCATCAGCTATAGAGGACTACAAATCCCAGCAATACATTATACAGCAATGCAGAACAATGCCATCAGCTATAGAGGACTACAAATCCCAGCAATCCATTATACAGCAATGCAGAACAATGCCATCAGCTATAGAGGACTACAAATCCCAGCAATACATTATACAGCAATGCAGAATACCACCCAATACCAGCCCCCTACACCAATCTTCAGCCGCTCCAGGCCCCCTTGTACCAGTCTTCATCCTCTCCAGGCCCTTGGGCCCCCCTGTGCCAGTGTTTAGCCTCTCCAACAGGCACCCCTAGCCCCTTGTACCAGTCTTCACCCCCTATCAGTCTTCACCCACTCAGCGCCCCCCCTGTACCAGTGGAATAATGCATCAGTTGGTTCAGTGAATCAGTATAGCAGTAGATCAGTGTAGCAGTGGATCAGTGTAGCAGTGGATCAGTGTAGCAGTGGATCAGTGTAGCAGTAGATCAGTGTAGCAGTAGATCAGTGTAGCAGTAGATCAGTGTAGCAGTAGATCAGTGTAGCAGTAGATCAGTGTAGCAGTGGATCAGTGTAGCAGTGGATCAGTGTAGCAGTGGATCAGTATAGCAGGGGATCAGTGTAGCAGGGAATCCATGTATTTGAGTATCAGTGGATCAGTGTGCTCAGGAATCAGTGGATCAGTATAGGAACGAAGCAGTGTAGCAGTGGATCAGTGTAGCAGTGGATCAGTGTAGCAGTGGATCAGTATAGCAGGGGGTCAGTGTAGCAGTGGATCAGTGTAGCAGTGGATCAGTGTAGCAGAGGATCAGTGTAGCAGGGGATCAGTGTAGCAGGGGATCAGTGTAGCAATAGATCAGTGTAGCAGGGGATCAGTGTAGCAGGGGATCCGTGTATTTGAGTATCAGTGGATCAGTGTGCTCAGGAATCAGTGGATCAGTATAGGAGCGAAGCAGTGTAGCAGTGGATCAGTGTAATAGTGGGTCAGTGTAGCAGTGGATCAGTGTAGCAGTGGATCGTTGTAACGGATGATCAGTGTAGCAGTAGATCAGTGTAATAGTGGATCAGTGT